AAGAAATAAACCAGAAAAATTATACTTAACGGCTCATTTGTGTAAAGGAAACCCAGAAGAAAAAAAAAAAAAAACTAAAACATAATGAAATTGGCTATCTACAGGGAGCAGAAAGAAAAGAAAATAAGACAGAAATATACTTATGTATTTCTAACTTTTAGAACCAGATTAATGTTTCACAGATTTTTTTTAAATCCAAAAGAATGGGGGTGCAGTTCTATGAATAGATAAGATACATACCAAACTATATTTCAAATGAATAACCTATGTTAGAGAGAAAATTTTTTATTAAAAAAAAAAAAGACGAAAAAGTAACTTAAATACCTCTGAACAGAATATATGGGTTCGATACAGTGATGATGAAATGTAATAAAGTACTCTGGAGTCAGACTGCTTGGATTCAAATACTTGCCCATTTATCCACGTGCTGTGTGATCCTGGACAAGTTCTGGACAAGTTCATTTATAATCTCTGTACATAGTTTGCCTACCAAATAATAACAGTACCAATCTCACAGTACTAATGGAAAATCTCAAATATAATTAATCATGTAAATCATTGAGTATGTAAGTATTGAGTATATAAGTATTTGGTAAGTTTTTGCTATCATCAACTACTAATCTCAAAAACACATTGAATAGGTGGGTATCCAAGAGACACACATAATGAAAAAGGAGTCCTTGTCAAAAAAAAAATGAATTTCTAGTGTTCAAGAAATTTCAAATAGCAAAATCCACATTGTTGGCTGGAATCATGTAGGGAATTAACAAAGAAAGAATCTGACACTTTATATACACACAGGATTTAGATAGCAGAAGAATGAGAATGATAACGGAAGATTATGGGTATTTGAATAAAAGTAGAGAGGCCATAAAGACCAATACAGTTCAAGAACACTGACACAGAAAAATGTCAGAAGGCTGAATGTTTGGAATAGGCAAGACTATGGAAGGAAGCTCCTGAATAAACAATTGAATTGGGCAGGCTTTATTTTCTAGACTATGAGGAATCATAGAAGATTTTTATGTAGAACATGACCAAACTGAACTGTGTGACTATTTCAGTGTTAGGGTGTAGAAGAGATTAGAAGTGAGAAGATCCACGTGTAAAGATGCCATATGGTTCACATGCCAGATGAGGGAGGGGGGGGATAGAATCTCAGAAGTATTAAGACAAAGTCTGAATGACATGGTGAGGAATACAGTCATTACAAGTAATGGGTGGATTGAGCGCCAGTATGTGAACCAGAGGGTCACCAGTTTGATTCTCAGTCAGGGAACATGCCTGGGATGTGAACCATGTACCCAGTAGCAGGAGCTCAAGAGGCAACCACACACTGATATTTCTCCCCTCTCCTTCTCCCTCCATTCCCCTCTCTCTACAAAATAAAGAAATAAAATCTGAAAAAAAAAAAAAGTAATGGGAACCAATAGAAAGAATTTCCTTTGGGTCTTAAAAATTAAGTCAGGAGGATGGGCTTCCAGTCAATACAGCAATGTAGGCAGACATGGCTTGAGTTTTCACACAACCACATCAAAATTTCAACTAAAATATAGAACAATCATCACCCAGGAATATAAAAAATCAAGCTGAATGGAAGTCTAACAACTACAGATATGGAGAAAGCACATCCATCCAGAACCGGCTGGCTCCACACCCACATGGATAAAAGTTCAGGAGGGATATCTTAGGCAGAAGGAGCCCCAGACCCAAACCGGGCTCCCAACCCAGGATTCCAGTGCCAGGATGATAAGTCCACACGACTTTTGGCTGCAAAAACCAGTGGGGATTGAGTTGGTGGAGGAGGTTGCTAGAGACCAAAGCAATTTCTTTTGGGGAACCCACACACAGACTCACCTACTCAGACTCGCTCCCTCTGAGGTACAGAACTGGGGTGGCAGCTTGAAGGGTACCAGTGGTATATAGGGAGAGACTGAAGTGTCTGGCATCAGGGTGAGCAGAGGCCATTGTCCCTCTGCTGAACCCTCTCCCCACAGAGCCGGTAGGTTGCTGCCATATCTGAGCATACCCACCAATGTTGGTAACACTGTGTCACCCACCTTGGAGATCCACAGAGGCTCTACCCTACTCAGCTTATGGGGCCCACTCAAGCTGCTTTTCCATAAGAATGGCTGGTCTTGGCTCCTAAATCCTATCAAACAAACAATAGCTGGCTTCAGTGAGCCCAAGCAGCAGCCAGATTACAGTCACAGGTTGGCTTGATCTGGGAATCTCCAAGCCCAGCCCAAGTAGCAGCCATCTCAGATTGTTTTATAGCTCAGGCAGGGTACCTGGGTAGGGGCTGATCTTGGCCTGTACTACCCTGGAAACCCCAGGGCCAAGGCACCCAGCGGACAGCTATAGGCTACTTCACAGCACCACCACCCTCCCCTAGAACAGCTGATCCTCCAGAAGGTGGAGGTTGGTGGCAAGTGGTCATAGCCATTCCTTACAGCTGACTGGCCTGGGTAAATTGCTCCCACTGACCTGCCAACAGCAAGCAAGGCTCAACTAAAAGAGGAGGGGGTACACAGCCCACACAAAGGATATACTTTGAGTACCCAGCTTGGGTAACAGGAGAGGCTGTGCCACTGAACCCTACAGGACACCTACTATATTAGACCACACTACCAATACACGGGAGTCAAAGCAGCTCTACCTAATACACAGAAATGAACACAAGGAGGCTGACAAACAAGGATACAAAGAAACATGGCCCAAATGAAAAGCACAGATCAAAACTCTAGAGAAAGAGCTCAATGAAAAGGAGATAAGCAATCTTATCAACTGCAGAGCTCAAAACACTGGGTATAAGGATGTTCAAAGAACTTAGGAACTCAGCAGCATAAAAAGGACCCAGTCAGAAACAAAGGATACACTAATTAAAATATAGAACAATATACAGGGAAATGACAGTAGAGTGAATGAAGCTGAGAATCAAATTAATGATTTAGAACATAAGGAAGCAAAAAACAACCCATCAGAAGAGTGAGAAGAAAAATCAATCCAAAGAAATGAGGACAGTATAAGCAGCCTCTGGGGCAGCTTTAAGGGGTCCAATATTCACAGGGGTGCCAGAAGGAGAAGAGAAAGAGCAAGAAATTGGAAATCTATCTGAAAAAAACAGTCAAAGAAAACTTCCCTAATTTGGTCGCTGGTTCAATTCCCAGTCTAAGGCATATGCCTGTCCAGGAAGCACAGAGAGTCCCAATTACGATGGATGCAACAAAGCCCACTCTAAGACACATCATTATTAAAAGGCCAAATAAATGTTAAAGAGAGATTCTTAAAAGCAAGAGAAAAGAAGTTAGTTACTGGAAAGTTGCCAGATGAGAGGGGGAGGGGGAGAATGGATGAAGAGGCGAGGGGATTAAGTACAAATAGGTAGTTATGGGATAGCCATGGAGATGCAAAGTAAAGTACAGGAAATGGAATAGCCAAAGAACTTCCACATATGACCCATACACATGAGCAATGGTAGGGGGACTGCCTAAGGAAGAATGCCTAAGGGATTTTGGGCACTGGGTGGAGGGGGACAAAAAGGGATAGATAGATAAATGAGGACATCTGTAATAGCATAATCAATAAAATATAACTTAAAAAAAGTTAAATCAAGGTTGTATAAGAAGCCTTGCCAATTTGAGATAACAGTTCAACATTCAGATACCAAGATCCAGTGGGCATCTGGCAGCATGGGGACTAGTGATTTGGAAAGACAGTGAGAACTGATGAAAAAAATAAAAATAAAAACCAAGCTCTGGCTGGTGTAGCTCAGTGGATTGAGTGCGGGCCTGCATGCCAGACAATCGCGGTTCGATTCCCAGTTAGGGCACATTCCTAGGTTGCAGGCCGGTGCCCTGCAGGCCAGTTCCCAGCAGGGGAAGCACGAAAGGCAACCATACATTGATGTTTCTTTCCCTCTCTCCTTCCCTTTCCCTCTAGAGATAAATAAATAAAATGAAATAAAAAATAAGTTAAAAAAATAATAAAAACCACTTTAGAATGTTCATGTTCTAAAGCATAGAGACACTAGACTGTGTGCTATTCCAAAGTAGTGATCACCTCATTTATTTTCATTTCCCTTAACATTTACCATAGTTCCTAGCACACAGGAAACTCAGTAAAATGTTGCAGAGGTGGAAGGAATAAAGATAGGAACAGAACTGCATGTCTTATTAATGGCAGAGCTTTGACAATAGCCCAGGTTTCCTGACTCTCCACCGTACATAGAGATGACCTCTAAATATCCATCATAGGATCCCCTAAAGAAATGGCATAAGAAATGAAAATAAAATCGCCTGTGGGGATGCTGGTTTCTAGAGAAAGATGGAACAGAGAATAAGAAGGCAGTAAAGAAAGGTCAGAGTTATGAGCAAGGGTTGAGGGTGGGAACTATAGTGTTGAATCACAGACTCAGAGGAAATTTTTTTAAGAAAGGAAGCACATCAAAAGTATCAAATGAACCCTGGCTGGTGTGGCTCAGTGGACTGAGTGTTGGCCTACGAACCAAAGGGTCACTGGTTCAATTCCCAGTCTAAGGCATATGCCTGTGTTGTGGGCCAGGCCCCAGCAGGGGGCATGTGAGAGGCAACCACACATTGATATTTCTCTCCCACCCTTTCTCCTTCCCTTTCCCTCTCTCTAAAAATAAATAAATAAAATCTTTTTTAAAAAATCAAATTATTTTCTGCTACACCAGTGAGACCCAAGGCAGGGAGAGGTAACTTTTACAAGTACGAAATTAAGATATTTTCATCTACCTTTCAGAGCACTTTTTAAGTACATAAATCACTCATAGTAGTGGTTCAAAAATAATACTGCAATCTTCAGTAAATTTTTCTCTACAAAATACATAACAGAAATAAAGTCACTATAGTAAGTAGTTGAGTTAAATAAAAATATGCACCATAAATTAAATCTGAAGCAAAAAGTAACAACTAAAAAATAATCATTTACATATACTGATAGCAACAAAATACATGAAATACTAAAGGTCTTACCTTAAATCTCTTGTCCTGCAATACTTTCTTGATGGCAACCAGTTCTCCCGAATCACAAAGTTTGGCTTGATATACCACACCAAATGACCCATTTCCAATCACTTTAGTGTCTGTATAGCTGACTTCTTGCGGCCTGTCTGGACCCTGCCCAGGAGTTGCCACCACTGTGGTCACCTTACTGCCATCCTTGTCTCCTAAAAAAAAAAAAAAAAAAAAAAAAAAGCATGAAAAAAAGAAACTATAAAGAATTAAACAGAAAATTGCTAAAGTATACATATTAAACTATATTCTTTGCCACAAACTATTTTTAAAATGCTTACCTTAGTATATCATAATTACTTCAACCATTTGTTTCAATTTAAGTATTTTTTAAAACCAGTCATTCTATAGACCAGGCATCATGCTCTACACGATTCCATTTAATGGAAACACCACAACCATGAAGTTGATAAACTGTTCCCATATTACAAATAATAGGAAGAAAGATGGACCTAATAGGGTTTTGAATCCTTATCTGTCCAACTCCAAAGGTTCTAGTTATTTCCTCAAGGCTTCCTTATTTTATTTGAAAACCAGTATGTGAGGCTGAAAATGTCTAAATATGCTAACTTTATTCATACCATTCTGACTTCAGGAGAGTAAGGTTTTTGCTTCTCCATATACTACTATCATTTTTAAGAAAATAGTGGAATAATTCTCAGTGAAAGGAAAGATAAAGCAAAAGGAAAAGAATGTTAATTTGGGGGTAAGAAATGCAAAGCTTAAAAGAAAAATCAAAAGTATTCTGAACTTAGCCTTACTCATAAGTTAGCTCACAGGCTCTGAGGTCTCTGTCCACTGATGGCCCTCTCCTTACCTTTTTTGCCTGCCGTCCCTTTGACCCACGAACGATCCAGAGACTCTGCAATTGAAGCTCAAGAGTCACTTCCTACTTGACTGGGCATGATTCACAATCATGTTTTTCTCTGAATTCTTAAACTATTCTAAACCATTCTATGCTACTTAGCACCTAATTTCAGGGCTTTAAATTATTCTTTTATTGATTTGAAAATACACAGAGATTCTAAGGACTACAGTGATCTGAAGTACAAATTAGGACTTGTGCTTCTTCTCTCTCTTCCCTAAGAAATCTAAAACCAATTCTCAGTACAATATTAGTCCATAGCCTCAGTGACTATACTACCCATTTTTATTTTATCCTCTACTACTTTATCCATTTTACTTTTTGAAATGCTGAATTCATAAATGATGTAATAAAAGAAAATATAATGTAATATTTAACTCTAGGTCCAACTCAAGATTATTATGTATGCATTCGTACTTGACATATAAAAAGATAAAAAATATATAAGCTAATTTTCCAATGGTTTGAGTGTTTTTCATTTACCAAATATAAAATTGTGTGATAACTGAATATCCAAATACTAGTGTTATATTACAACCAGTATTTATGGCCATTTAAGTTCATAGAGGTTCTAATATACACAAAAGTCAATAACAGGCACTATATGTTATATTATAGCCAGCTATCTGGAACATATATGGCTTTAGTTCCAAGGAGAAATATCCCAACAGGTATGATTTAGTTAGCAGAAATCCAACACCACTTATAGAAAGAATAACTCAAATCTCATCTACACCATCATTTTTACTTACAACCATATCACATATGCTTTAAATGTATACAAAACCCAGGACAAGCCAACACATATATAGCAGTTCTCAAAGCTTTCAAATGCTCCCTTCACATCTCACTTCTGAGTAAAATAAATCTTAAATAAACTTGCTAAAAAAAAACTAGTATAATCTGAGTTCTAAATCATCACTCTCCATTCCCCAGAAATAGTCCATATTACTTTTGTTTCTTACTGTGTTAACCTTAACTCAATTTTTCAGGTTGACTATAAACTTCACAACAAGTTACTTTCTTCTTCATCTGAAAAATAAACTTGTATTATAGCACTCCTAAAGACAGAACAGTCTTTTGAACTTAAACTCTTCCTAAAGAGACCTAAAAAAGTTAGATCCAGAACTATTAAAATGCAAGGTATTGAACACATTTTCCTGTAATCTAATTGTCCCAAAGAAAAAGCAGGAGTTATTCAAACAGTCTAACTCCTTCCCTAGATAATCCAATTTCAAACCAGTTCAAATCCAAGTTCAAACAAATTCAGGAGGCAGGGAGAAAGGGTGAGAGAGAGAGAAAGGAAAGACAGGAAGAAAAAAAAGGAAAAAAATCAAGAACTATGAATTAATAGTTTGAATGAAGAAGAGTTGCTTGCAAAACTTCACAGACCTAATTCACATTATTTTTAATTATCTAACATAAATAATAGATTTTAAGAGTGACTGTTATACTCCACAATTTTAAATGAAAATTAAACTTATTAGAGATATAACCAAAACTTACGTTTTTCTACTGAATAACTACACTTCAATAACAAAAACAGTAGTCACAGCTTTGTACTTGCTCTGATAAGAGAATTTAAGCAATGTAAGATTGTGTAATGACTTTCCCCTCTTGCCTCCTCTGAGGTTTCATTTCTAAAACAAAATTTACATTTCAGAGAAATAATTTCAGAGTCTCAAGAATCAACAAAGAAAGCTATCCATTACAACCTTGGGATTTATCACCTCTTGAACCTCAACTACCATACTTGGGAACAGCTCTCCCAGCATCATGATTTGCATACAAGAAAATGCACAAATGAGATCATTCTGCAAAAATATTAAAGATACTCTTGAAGCCTCTTAATATGAAACTGATTGAATGTGGACATGGATCAATCCTTTCACCTTCCTGTACACCTAGTAAAACAACTAATTATCTTAGCAGAAATTAAAATATGTACTCTTGCAAGTAGTTGCAGAAATGCTGAGAATGCTTAATGACTATACTACTATAAAATCCCTAGTTACACTAAGAACAATGGCTCTCAGGCTTCTACCTCAAGGACCCTGGAATTTTTATTCAGAAATCATCAAGCTAATCATTAGACAGCTCCATCAGAGATCTGAAATAGCAGAGCTGTAACAAATGCCAAGGTATCACTGGGGATGACTTGGTATGAGCATTAGTAGCGCATGGGCAGTCAGCAACTAGTGTGCCAAGGAAAAGCCTATCATCACTTGGCATTGTAACTTGCTAAGTTCGCAAGAAAGTAACAGCTGTATAAAATTTTACTGTACAAAAAACTTTCCAATTGTTTCATCTACTCTAATATTTATATCATAAATGTAGAGATGAATTATGTTTACTATGCAAATGAGGGAAGTGAGACTAAGAGAGAGTAACATGTCCGACATCATTAAGCTTCAGCAGAACTTTGCATTTGCCTCATACTGCCTCTGCCATATTTTACAACCTTCCTACTACAGCTGAAAAGACTAACCTCATCTACTCTTAACCCCGAAGCAGATCATGTTTCTGAAAATATGATGTAAAAATAGAATATTACTTTGTAAAAGGAAGAGAATAAATAAGTCATCTTTTATCGTTTTCAGGCCTCAATTATTCACTTATTAATATCTAGAAAGCTCTTTTTAAAGATAATCTGGCAGCATTAGATTTTGAACCTTATCCCCCCCAAAAAACCCATATGAAATACAAAAATTAAAATTAACTGATTCCGTGATATTCAAACATTTAACATTTGCTACCAGAAATGGGATAATTTTGGATCTTAGCAACAGAGCAACATTTTAAGCTCTGCTACCAAGACACCAAAATACTCATGAAAAGCTAAAAATCATTAACAAATCTGCACCATTTTCTAAAATAAGTCACCACTTTGCCAATACTAAACTTCCCAGAATACATGGTATAGTGAGTCTCAAACCGATTACAATAAAACTGGTCTCCTGAAAATGCCACTGTCTCTAGGAGCAAAAGCAGAACGGTGGGAATAGCTAGGCTCCAGGACCTCTCTCTGGATAGAAGGCTCCTGGGATCCTCTACTTCAATTAAAATTCACTCAGGTGTTATTAATTCCCTATTATAACTAAAACACAATCAAATCCCCTGCTCTGTCACAGCAGGCTTGTCATGAAGCAATGGAAATATGGCCCACAACAGAACCCCCACTTTTTGTTTTTATATTTATTTATTTAAAGATTTTATTCATTTATCTTTAGAGGGGAAGGGAAGGAGAGAGGGAGAGAAATATCAATGTATGGTTGCCTCTCATGTGTCCCCCACTGGGAACTGGCCTGCAACCCAGGCATGTGCCCTGACTGGGAATTGAACCGTGATCCCTTAGTTCGCAGGTCTGCGCTCAATCCACTGAACTACACCAGCCAGGGCAGAACCACCACTTTCTATTGAAGTTTGTTAAATACAGAATACCTTTTTAACAAAGTTTTAGGAATATGGAACACAAAAGGATAAGTGCAGCCTAGTTTTCAATCTCTCAAACACAGGTTTGTGCCTTGTGGTTACATTTTTTAAGTCTTCTGAAGTCATTCCTCAAACCAATCCACTCAGAGATGAATAAATATTACAGAATTAACACCCACAGTACAAATCCAAGGTGTGGAGGTGAGCATCCAAAAACCAAAGACCATTTCAAGCATGTTTAATTATTTAAGAAGAATCTGACACTTGACATTCTCATTTTATATGAATGATAAATCTCAAAGTCAAACATACTTTAGTGGTTTAATTTAATGTTTCTTAAGATTCATGAACCCTGAAAAGGCAACAACTAAAACACTTTTTTTAATTGAGAGGCTTTTAGAGATGTTAATAAGCCAAACTATTAATACAAACTGAACCAAGTCAGTAATGACTGTCTAAAGTCTGTCACAAAAGCCCAGAGAAACCACACATGACCATCTGTGACTACAAGGAAAACGCCAAATTATTTTTATGAGGCTTTTGATCTAACAATAAATAGTAGAGAAAATAGCGCTGCTTATTGTTTCTCTAGAAGTACCAAATAGCTATTTTTACAGATGTGTAACAACAATATTGCAAATACTCTATTGAAAAATATTATATAAATTATTCAAAAGAACCAAGAAAAAAGCTTAAATTTTTCAGGCATGATTAAGATGTCTGAATGATAAACAGTGACCACTTTCAAATTTTCAGGTTTTTAAGTCAAAGCTGAAACAACTCTTTATCCTAAGTAACTGGCTAAGAAATTTCTATTAAAAGATGTTCTCCCCAAAATAAACAAAGCAGCTTAGAAAC